ACAGAATTTCAAAACAAAAGAACTGACCTCTCTTCGTTGTTTTTGAAGCTGAAACTCCCTGGCCGGTAGGCCTCAACTATATGGAGTCCTGCTTAAACAAACTCAGTGAAGTTGTTTGGAAAAACTCAACATGTTGCGATCTTCAGCAAACCTGGGTCGAGGCACGCACCTTCTTCTGCTCGCAAATCTCTCTCAAGCATTGAGTCTGAAATTAAGCAGCCAGCGAATAAACTTGCCCTGCTGATGCCTGTTGAAATGCAACAACAGCTCCAACTCTACGCAAGCTGAGTCGATGTCTAGCTCGCATTTGTAAAGGTAGGACACCGCGATCCAGTGTGCCAGTATGGCCATCTAGTATGCCCACAATGGCTCCAGGCAAGACCTCCCCACACTCTTGGCGAACAGATTTGCTGGTGCAAAAAACTCCCTGCCCTACCCAAAGCAAGTAGCCACATGGAGCCTTCGGCCGCTCCAGGCACAGGGTGGACGCTGACGTGTCAGGACTCAAACAGGGCTGCTTTTAGAACGTACACCCCAAATCCTGCAACTTCCAATCAGCCAGTGAGTAGCCTGAAAGACGAGTGAGAAACAGGTTCGATTTTCTTCAGCACACCGTGTCAGAGTCCGAACCTCAACAAAAAAATACTGCACATGTGTCCGACCGGCCCTCTAGTTGCAGCAACTGTGCTGCGGGCTGGGGTCAATATTCTCTGTGTTCCCGACTAACATGAGTATTTGGTGGGTGGCTTCGCGCCATTCAGTCCTTTTACTACTGCAGTCGATCATCCCTGCTGGTTTGGCCTTTTGAACCTCTGCAACAAGTCCCACATTTTGCCAGTTACAACGGAATCAGCCCATTCTCAAGAAAGGTCTTCCAAGAAAACGTTTCGCGGCATCCGGGCTTTGTCGGGAAAAGCTGCCATGAGTGATGCAGGGGAAGCAGTCACGTCTCAGCGCTGCTTGGGGATGGACACCACTCTTCCTGCCTTACTTGCAGCTTGCAACTTTGGAAGAAAAGGGCTCGGCAACTTTTGCGGATGCAATCTAAATGGGGGGCCACCAAACAAGCCACGTTGATATGAACTCGCGCGAGAACACGCTGCTTGATGCGCTCTGCTTCAGTATAGTCTAGAAAAAGGGAGCCCAGCCGACTTACTTGATTTTTGAACAAACCCCCAACTAGGAAATTCGGCTGGCTAAAGTTCGCAGGCAACAACAGGTCAGTCCGGCTGCGCGCTGAACCTCAAGCTTGTTGCTGGCTGGCGCGACGGCAAAGAAACTCAGCCGGACAAAAATGGAAGCAAAACAGCATTGACCCCAACCAAAAGCAGCCGTAGCTCTGAATTACTGCAATCACGCTTCCTGGTTGATTGAGACCCCTTCATCCAGGGCGCTCCGATTCTTGGAGCAACCAGTCAAGCTCTTGCAAGGACACATCATCGCCACCCCAAGATCCAACTACATGGCCATAACAACCGCAAACGGCTGAAGGTGCGGGCCCGGCTTGCCACTTGCCACAGTTCAAAGGTTGCCACATCCCAAAGAAAAGGTCTGAGCACTCAATCTTCTTTATCCCGCCCCCGCTGACGCCTGAACCTTTGTCAAACACGCAGCCAAGCTGTCACATCTTGGGCTCGCTCTTTGAGGAAATGCTGCAGCCACGATCTCCCAACTAATCCGGCCAGTGGCACAGCCTGTCACAGCGGGCGGTTCCTGTCTCACAGCTGTCTGTCACAGGGTCGGTCGCAGCTATCTGTCAGCATAGGCTCTCGTAGTGCGTGGATTGGCGGACTGTCACGAACGAGGCAAACGGGTGGCTACGCACTTCAGCCCTGGTCCGGCCATTGGCCAGGCTTTGGGCTGCCATCGGCACGAGCCTCAGACTTTGGCTGGCGAAAGCCCCTGTCCAGCCACTGGCGGGCCTCAAGCTTTGGCCTGCGCCGCCACTGGGGGGCTGTCCTGGTCCGGCCACTGTCACAGGCTTTGTCACAGCCGTTTTTCAAAAGAGTGCGTCATAGGCCTGCGGGCGGACGGAGGGCGGGCGGCGGGCGGTCGGATGTCATTCAAAACCTGACAACCCCAAGCCTGTCTGGTGGGGCACAAAAAGCGAACACCCAAAACAGGGATCCTTACATTATACACCTGAACATTGCAACTTGTAAATGGTGGTGTCCAACTTTATCCGCCGACATTGCTCGGCGTGTCGGACACCTAAGAGAGGATAGAGGATAGCCCCCTAACCCCCCCCCGCCCGACGTCTGATACGTGGGGGGGGGGCCCCAAGGACCGCGCGGCAATTTGATGACGTTCCACTAAACGTAGTCTTCGGGGAGCCGGTGTCGCAAAACAGGGGTCCCAGGCTCGATTCCCCCTGCCGGCTCTTTGCTGGTTTGGGGTTCCTGCCTCCTTTTGCAGAAAATCTGGAAAAACTCTGTGTTTTTGGACGTCCTAATTGTGAAAACGCTGGAAAACCCGTGTTTTTTTGCTGCAAATATTGGGGAGCAGAGGGGAAATGCAAGGAAGTGCAAGTGAAATGAGGGGAGGAAATAGGAAGTCGACATGACAGGAAAGCAGCGGGACATGAAAGGGAAACAAAGGGGAACTGAAAGGGACATGCAAGGGACAGAAATGAAAACAAGGGGAGTGCAGGGGGAAGGAGAGGAAACAAAGCACAAGGAAACCAAGCACGACGGGAGATGTAGGGAAATGACTCGCAACGAAAGAACGGGACATACATGGCAAATGAAGCGGACATACCGAGAAAATGTCAGGGACATGAAGGGGGGGCTGAATGGCATGGAAGGGACAGGACCAGGACATCATGGGAAACGTGACAAGGACATGAAGGGGGAAAGCCAGTAGTGAGATGACAGTTCAGGGTCATGCAGGGGCAGTGCCCGGACATCGAGGCAACTCAGGGGGGGACGTGACGCTGCAATGCAGAGAGAGAGAGACAGAGAGAGAGAGAGAGAGAGAGAGAGAGAGAGAGAGAGAGAGAGGGAGAGAGCGGGAGAGAGACAGAGAGAGAGACAGAAAGAGAGAGAGAGAGACAGAGCCACAGACAGAGCCAGAATCAGAGAAACAGAGACAGAGACAGACAGAGAGAGAGACAGCGAGAGAGAGAAAGACGGAGACTGAGAAAGAGAGACACAGAAAGACAGAGAGAGAGAGAGAAAGAGAAAGAGCGAGAAAGTGAGAGAGTAGAGAGGTTCGAATTAGGGTGCCCTTTTTCTGTAGAGGGGCGTGGACAGGAAGGAGACAGGGAGACAGAAAGAGACAGAGAAACAGAGACAGCGAGAGAGAGAGAGAGGGAGATTGAGGAGAGAGAGGCTTCGGGGGATGGGGAGAATGGGGAGCAGAGGGAGGGAGAGAGGACGACAGAACGCACGAGGGAGACAAGGGAGCGGGAAGAAGGAGAAAAGGGAGAGGACAATGTCGGCGGACTGAGCCGGAGGCTCTAAAGTTTTGGTGTTGAAAAAGCCACATGTTTCAAATGGTTACAAAATGGAGATCTTTTAAGGAGCCCTGCAAAAGAGCTGAAGATGTGCAACTCGGCTGCAGTCAGGATCTCCCAACGCTTCACCTCCTCTTCGCGAGCCCTTTGGGTCGCCTCGCTTGTCCTCGGGTCGGCTTGAGTTGGAACCGTGGAGAAAAAAGGAAAAAAAACGGGGGCGGGGGGGGGGGGGGGCAGGAGGGGGGCAGGAGGGCAGTTGGGGTGTTCTGGTTCCTGTACAGTAATGCGGCTCTGCGGGGGTGTTCCAGTGTCTTTTGTCCTGTACAGCAACGTGTCTGGGGTTCTAGCCTTTGTTCTTTGGTTCTTTGACAGAAATGTGAGCGGTGATCCCTGCGGCTCTGCGGGCTTTCTCTTTCTGTTCTTTTTCCCTCCACAGTTTGTTCCTTGGGGTCTCATGCCACTTTAAAGACATGTGTTCAATGTGGCGCAGTGTTGGCCATTCTGTTGGCATACTGAAACGAACGCTCGCCCCAACCTCCGGGGTTGTTTTTTTGTGGAAATAGGGCCCCGCAAATCGTTTCCGAGGGCATCTTGAAGGCAAACAACCAAGATGAACCCAACCAAGCCCATCCTGGGGAGGAAAGCCTGCCATTCTGCGAGAGATCAATTCGCATTTCGCCGGGCTTGCGGCCGAGAAGCTCCTTTGGTGGGTTTAGCACCAAGCTGGACATCCGGTGACTGGGCTCCAGGCCCAAAGCGGCCAGGTCACGGCTGAAGTGGGCCATGATGGCTGGCTGCATCTTTGGGTCCAGCGGAAGGGGGGTGGGAGGCTCAACTCCTGAGCTCCCTGAGTCCTGAACTCCTGAACACAGAAGCTGCGGATCGAGCCTTCGACTCTGTCTCAACGAGACGACCTCATCTGATCAAAACTTCTACGGTCCTTTTGTCTTTGCCAGGCATGGGGGACGAGCATGGACACAAGTCCAAGGTCACATGAGATTGTTGAACATTTACAGACATCAGCTCCCAATCTCCATCCGGCACATGAAGAATCGTTGCGGATAAACATTCTGCCGTTAAAAACAAGTGCAACTGAATTTCCCCCTTCAACTTCCACGCGGTCGCCAATCATTATCTACCACTTTGGCTTGGTGCAGCTTCCCTCTAAGTGTTGATTTGGATTGGCGGTTTGGAGGTTAGGCATGGTTTTCCACTTAGTCCCTACGAGAAGCTGGGCGTAAGATCCCCAGACCACCAACCCAAACCACCAATTCTGGGTTACCTGATTGGTTGTTTACTTCGTGGTTTCCCCGTGGAAGTAAAGCAAGAAACACCTGCTGCTTGGGCACCTCGAAGTTCTTTTTGTTCGGCGTGGGCATGAGAACTTCAAAAAAACACTCTGGGAGGGGGGGTGACCATATATACATACATATATATAAATATATATGTATATATGTATATATATATATGTACATATATATATATATGTATATAACAGAAACGTAGCCTTTGGACTCGTTTCACCTCCCATTCTTGGGCCCCCCGCAAAGCCTGGCCAGGCTGCCTCCCAGGGCCTCGGAATCCAATTGACTGGCTCACACGCTCACGAATCAAACGGCCGATGGCGATTGCCCTTCATGGGAACCAAGCACAGCTGCAAATTGTTTGATCCTCCAGAAGGCTTCAAAAAAAAATATTTGTTGATCCAGAATGAAAAAAAAGCAACCGTACGGGTAGCTCATCAGTGACAACAGAGCGTCGGTTCCAGCAACGTGGACGAGCATCTGCCTGTGATTCATGAGTTTCAGCGGATAAGGCGGCTCATTCAATGGGGCAGGGGCGGCAGGGGTTCTTGTTGCTCCCCCCCAAAGCGTCAACCTGATTCTGGGTCTAGAAGTGTGTGTTGGTCCCGTTCACCCTCTCCAGTAGCACACAGAAGCGACAGCCAACTGCTTATCCACCATGGCGACTGCAACGCAAGCAGCGTGGCGCCCTCCCGCGCTTTGCCGGCAAGTCTATCCGCCTGCCTATCTTGGAAGCCCCCCCGATTCCCCTGACACACTATGGCTAGACATCTTGCCCCAAAACCAGACAAGACAAGGCGGCCGCAAAATGGCAGTGCACAACCACTGCAAGACCTGATCAAGTCATTCCTTGCAAAGCTTCCCATCATGTTTGCCCTGTGGGAAGGTACCAAGACTAGTTCGGCCCCTCTGTATGGCAAGGATTTCATGCTAGTACCCTTTCACATTGAAGCAGGACAGGAAATCGCTGCGATGGCACACACATATCGTTGGCAGCACATCCTTGATCCAGCGGCACAAGAGTTGCATGCCCGTACCAGGTTGGTTCGAACACCATGCCACTTCAGGGATGCCCACAAATCATATGTGTGTCAGCCCCGACTTGGCCAAATGATATGGTGGTCATAATTACTTGTTCCCAAAAATGAGATGTGAGCGAATTCCCCGGTTTTTCTGGTTGAACTTAGAGATCGTCCCTTCTCGTGCCTGAATTCACCGAATCGTTCTGGAAAGTTTGACCGCACACGGCGAGTCAAGTCGAAAGGTCAAGGCCGGGACGAGGCGCCGAAGGCCAAAAGCACCTCCACCTGGCCGGCACAAGTGACTCAGCTGAGATCCGACCTTTTGATGCGCAAATCGCGAGCACTGGACAACAAAAATGGCGGGACGCCACTTTTTACCTGGACATCTATCCCACTCTTCCTTTACACACAGCTGCTTATTACTGAGCTTATTAAATGGCACCTCTGTCTATTCTCGGCGCCTAAAGTTGCATCCCACCAGGTAGCTCTCATCGGCGGTTTTCGATGTTATGCCTTTGCGCTAGATTTGCAATGCTTGCCAATGTGTGCAAAACGACTGATCACAGACACGCACACACAGAGCCGCATACATTCTGCGGGTTGCTTCCATGTTGCAGGCACTGCCCAGTGTAGAACCCGCCCGCACTCCTACTACTCAACTCCCGCACTCGTGTCTGGCAGCTCGCTCGCGGCTCTCACCTGCTCCTTGTTGCCGTGGAGGTAGTCGATCATCGCGTTCAGGGCCAGCGCCACACCCGAGAGCGAGTTGTTGATCAGCATTCCCTGGCGCGAAGATGAAACCGAGAGAGCCCGGTCCCGAAACTGAAAGGCCAAAGGTCAATCAGCTTGGTACCGCAGAGAATGCAGGGCCCTCTCTGCTGGGTATTGCGCAATATGATGTACCTTCCTGCCAAGACACCATTGCCCCCTTTTGTGTATGTATAGATATAGATATATATATATATATATATATACAAATTAGAGACACGATAAATTATTGCTGGTACGGGTAATGGATCTGAATGAATCGTTGTTTGAATGATTTCTCATTTAATCGTGTGGGTATGCAGTATATCAACGTTGGGGACCCCGAGACCCCGAAAAGGGTGCTCTTGTTGGTTTCCCTTCAAGCCACCCCAAAAAGCGTAGCCTCAAAAACCACATGCACATGTCAGCAAACTGGTCAGGTGCGCAGCCAGGGGGATCACGTACTGGGCGTCATACCACGGAGCCTTGAACCAAGCACTGGATGTTTTTTTGTTTTGTCTTTTCCGCTCATGAATGCCGTCTGCAAAACAGTACCAGCTTCCCTGGCGATGCAAATGGAGTGCCCCCTTCCCCCCTCGCGGACGTCCCAAAAAAAAAGACGTCACACCCGTGATGCGCCGGGCGCCGGGCCGGGCGGACGATGTACAGCAGCAGCAGGCCGTTCAACAGCAGCGCGGAGCCTCGGAACTCCGCGGTTTTCGGGCAGCGGCGTGACGTGACCGTGACCCGCCCGAATCAAAACCCAAAGCCTCTGCCCAGGTGTCGAACTTGAGTCAGAATTGCTTGCTTCCTCAACAAAACATGGGACGGGACATGTTCCGCGGAAACCCGCATGTTTGAAAGGAAATTGAGAGCTCGTCCCCATGCTTGACCCTCGCTTACAGGTTCAACGAAAACCTTAAAGAACACCTCACTGCCAAAACTGTATCTTATGCGCAAAGCCTTGCCTTCCTCACGCCAGGCAACCGAGGCTCACTACCGCCTTGGAGAACATGCCCGGGTACGTCACCTGCGCTCCGGCTCCCGCCGAGAGCCCCGTGAGCAACGACAAAAGGCGACACGGCGGTTTTGAGTGCCTCCTCTTTACGGGGACCCTCCCCAAATGGCGGTTTCCCTTGTGGTTGTCCTTTGCAACCATAAAAGGGCTACCAACTCCCAAAAAAAGAACACCCAAATCCCAGGAGGTGGATAAACCACACAAGCCGATCCATTACCTCCGCCTTCCTCCTTTCCCGCACGTCGATCTGAGAAAACAACAAAAACCTCCCGGCCTTGGGCCGCGCGGCGGCCTCGTAAGCGGAGACCAGGACCATGAAGCCGAAGACGTAGCCCAGCACCAAACTGGCGAGCCACCGGCCACCGAAGCCCAATTTGGCCCTGGGGAGAGTTCCGGAGCCGACCAGGTCACTTGTTCTTTGTTGGAGATTGTTGTTTTGCCTCTCACCCAGTTCTGTAGTTACCCATTTCTTGCTGTACCCATTGCAAAGCGAAAACACAAGAGCGAAACGATGGGACTCGCGTAGGATGGAGCCTGGACAAAGCGTATCTGGGGCGAAGTGACGGTCGAGGCCTACGTATACTCATCCGATTCTGACCCACCAAGTGCGGGCAAATGCAACCATGTGCTGGGTATCGAAGTTCATGTCCATACTGACCAAAGTTCTTTGGAACCAACAATCATTGAGCAAGGGCCTTCTGTAGTTACTCGACGTGATTGAATGCCTTGGCACATCTGGTCATCTAGCGGGACAGCGGCTATTCCCACACCCCTCGTTTGCTTTTTGCTCCCCTGCTAAAAGTGACTATATAACTTTCAGTGGTTTAACACGGAAAACCAAAGCATTAGTTGGCAAAAAGCTATAAAGTCCTAACATCCCTTGGCAAACTGCACCAAAGGGTTGAAACGAGAAGTTCAGGAAGCCTAGTCTGCTGCTTTGGGGGGATTCTGTGGATTCTCGAGACCCATGGGACCCCTCTCTTTTCCCTCCACCCGAAAAATCCGAGAAACCACGGGTCACGAGGCCCCCGTTTCAACCCGGCGGGCACGGCAGGGGCGAGCGCATCTCGAAGATCGGCGCCAGGATGAAGCCCAGGCCTCCAGAAGGGCGCTAGGACCCGAGCGAAGAACCGCTCAAGGACTCCGTTTGTTCTAGGCTGGAACTGGGACCCCAGCAGAAAACGAGATCTTTGTCTTTGCCTGGGTAGTGGAAACCAAAGGGGCCCCAAAAATGCCCCCCCCCCCAAAAAAAAAGGGGGAGCTAATTCTGGGGAAGTATTCAGGAAGAATGCTGGAAACCTGCCAACCATGCCCCTTCTTGATTCTGTTTGATGAACCTCTGTTGCTTCACTTCTGTGGACAAGTACGATTTGATGGACAGCGACCATGTGTGCGCGGCAAGCCCAGCTACCGAACGAGCGTCACCTGAAACTGGCTCCCGCATCAATAGAAACCGTGATTGAGCACTGACAAGCTGCCAGGCATATTAATAATATGAGAAAAGCTTGGGCAACTGCTGCCTCATGCGCTCACTCTCCGAGCCCCAGGTCTCGGACAGGTAAGCTGCACGCAGCATCTGACCTTAGCAGGCTCCAGGCCACTTCAAACATCCAAGGGAAGTATCATCAGAATTGAAAAAGCGAGGAACTCAACCACAACTTCACCATGTTCTGCCTCAGCCTGAAATTGGAAATCAAATGATTCTCCTGAAATGACTCTGTCCAGGTTCCAGTCACGTGCCACGTGTAGCATCCAAAAAGAAAGCTGATTCCTATGGGCATTCGTGTGTACGTGTTCCGGCTTCATATTTTCAGACGCAGCCTTTGGGCAAAGAACCCCGCTCCGGAGATGAGGAGCTGATCGGCATTGCCCAGCCTCAGCTCCAAGCCCAGTCTCAACAGGCGGCAGCCAGTCCATGTCTTCCATTTGGTTAAGACCCCTGGAAAAATATGTTTTTCCAGTAGTGATAAAGTCCTTTTAAAACCAACAAAAAAAAATAAGGAAGACGTGTGTGTGTGTGTCTCAGTCATTCTTCACTCTGGCCTGGGATTCGAATCTGGTCCTCCATTTCAGGCGGAGACCACCAAATGACCTGGCAACCTTTGCCCGTTTCTTCTCCGGCTTCGACAGCGCGCTTCCCAGTTTGGGGCCCTTGAGGCATGGGGAAACATGCCGGGCCAAGCCCCGGGCTCGAGGAAGCGTGCGGCGCCGGCCTCCAAGACGATGACGGAGCAGGCCAGCAGGATGTGCTGCGAGGGCAAGGCCAAAGGCGCTTCGCGCTTCGCGGCAGCGCGCAAGCTCGCAACTCTTGGCTGACCCGTTCGAAGCTCGGAAAGTAGGAACTTGGGCTTGAAATGGGCTCGAAACAACTACGGCTGCTTTGCCTGGAACTGCCACCAGCCACAAACAAGCGCTCGGGGTTTTCAGTGGCTCAACTGTTGCTAGCAAGTGTGAGCAGGTCTGGCGCTTGCTGGGCCCAGCTCTTAACATGTGGCAAGCCAAGGGTTTCGCTTAAGCAACATACTCCCTTTTGCTGAGTGTTGTTTTAAGGGAGACAAATGCAACCAGACCAGGAGGAATGTCCCTTTCTCCAAGCTATGCCTGCGATGGCCATGCCTTCGTGAGCCATTGAAGTCCGAAAGGGTTCAACGTGAGCCCGCGCCGGGGATCTCACCTGATTTTGTTCCACCGGTGTCCATTGAAACTGCCACTTTTGGAGGCTCCAAAAGTGGAAGTCGAGGAAACTCAGGGCGGGGCCAAGTGTTAAGACAGTTTCCACGCGCGCCCGGTGCAAATGCGTTGAAAACCCCAAACGTTTTACAAGCGATTCCCACCCGCCAGGACCAAAGGGCTCTCAATTGGTTCCGAACGTGCGTGCCACTTCCGCGAAGGTTCAAACAGCCATTTAAACGCCGAAAACAACTTGGCAACGGGTAGCCTCTTGAAAGCATTGATGTAAGTTGTTGAAACACTTGTTGCACTCGCGGGCGTTTAAACGGCTGTTTAAACACCAATGGACAAGTTCTTCAAATGTCTTGGCCTTGGACTGGATGTCTGGACCCCATGGCTGTATCAGCCACCCTCATTGCTTCGTTGGATTTACAACACCCTGGTATTGAATTGCGCAGCGCTTACATGGCTGTGGCTCAAAAAACCGGTACCAAAATGGAACCCTGGTAAGTGGAAACATGGACCAAAACCTGCGTAACCCCGCCTGTTTAATTTTGAGCCACACCCACATGCGTGGGCAGTGAGTTTCCCTACGAGAAAGCCTTCACACTGCACCAACACCATAAATGATCACCGAGCTCAGCACCTCCAGAACAGCGATTAAAACGCTTTGAACAATCGGCATGACGGCGCAAACGTGAGCAAACGTGTTCAGCCCCCCTCCCCCAAGAAACCCCATCAAGCAGCGCAAATCTTGGACCTTCCCCCAAAAAAGTCAAGTCTTTGAATCTTGGCAATTACCGTAAAAGACCTGCATCTAAGTTTGCCGTTCGTACCCTCCAGTTGTTCTGTAACTTGATCCCCAGATTCTGCCCATCTGCACAAGTCGCTCTAAGAATTTCTCGCCCAAGGACCACCCGCAGTCCATTGCAAGCCGTCTCGATCACTCAGGACCCACACCGACCAAGGGAGATCGGCCGAGACCTGCTCGCCCTGCCAAATGGATGGGGAACTCCCCTCCCACTGGGCCAACTGGGTGGGTACAAAGGAGGCTGGTGACTCACTTGCGACACTAGAATTTCCTCACTTGCGACTGCAACTCAAAAACAGCAACATGACCCACACATGGTACTAAAAACAAATTGGCCGGCGTGCTTTGGCTGTAGCTTCAAGCACACAGGCGCAGTGCGCCTCCGACATGTCTGCTTGCCAACACTGGATGATCTGGATGAGTTATTCACAATAGGCCCTCTCCCTTTCGGGCAGATGTTCGGAATCGAGAATCCCGAAAAGGCGAAACAAAACCCATCTTTGGGACGGCCGGCTGGGTCGGATCGCAATCTGACTCTGATTGACTGAATTTGCCGAGACCCCTGGCAGTGGCACTGTCCATGGCAGCGAACCACACCGAGCCCCGCAGCTGTGAACAAGTGTGCGTGCGCCAAATGACTATGAATTTGTACAGGGAACCACCTCCCAAGCGGTTGGTGGGCATGAATCGCCACCGAGTTTGATGTCCGGTCCCTATCAAAATTCACACTCAAATCAGCCGGTACGAGAGGGCAGCTTCAGCTGTCCTCCATTACTCGCATGGTCTGACTTTAAAGCCACGTGGATGACAAGCCCCAAACGCCGCAGATCTCCAATTGCATGATTGCCTTGGATGCTCCCTTCGCCAGAAATTTGAACCTTGTTCTTGGTAAGCTTGAGCAAAGTGGCTTTCCGACACCTGCTTGAATGCTTTGGTCTGAATCCATGGGTACCACGGCTCGGCTGACGCCCGTGGCGCTCCATGTCCGAAGCCGTTGCTTCAGGTGGCAACGGTCAGGACCTATGCGAAGATGGACAAAACACGTCCTGTCCAAAAAGGTCTGTTAAAATCCTGGACGCGAAAACTGCGTCACCCGTGGTTTTCCCTGGCTTGTCTGCAATTTTCCAGTTGTTTTCTTTGTTTTACTAGCCTGTTTCCTCCAAGAATGCATTGAGCGGAGGCGTGCTGATGCGGGCGTCACGCGTTGGGGCGCATGGACCAAGAGTCTCCTGAAGCGCATGCATGTACCACGGTCAAAGAAGACTAGGTTGTGTTGTGTATCTGTAGTTGAAATTGAGGGGTGCGTTGCTCGCATGAGCTAAGGAGCCCTCAAAGAAACATGGAGTCTGAAAGCGATCCCCTGGATTTTTCCTTTAACAGCCATTGGACCTGTTTCACTTTGACTTTGGCATTTTTTGAGAGCAGTGCCAAAAAGCGGTCCTTATTCCGGCTCGGTCTAACCTTGTAACATCATCAACACTCATCCTCGACACCCCTTGTGAAAGGGTCAGTCACTCTCCGTTCCTGCTGTTCGGATTTGTTGCCTTGAGGCTTGCCTGGCCTCAGGGAATGCGAAAAAGGAGCTTCCAAATCGAATTTGGAGGATGGTCGACCCCTCCTAAGTGATGATACAATGTGTGTTGTTTGCTGGTTTACTTTTCAAATGGCGGTCTGTCAACAAACTGAGGACAAATTAGGGCGCTGTTGCAGAAGAGGAAGTGGCACAAGTCGCCAACGGTCTAGAGGGACGTCTTGCCCCAGATTCGGCGCTCCGAGCTACTATGTACCAAATTAGGCCCCTTCAATATGCTCAATATGCTCCATCCCACTCTGCCTGTAATGAAGCTTTCTGCAAAGAGATGTGAGCCGTTTCAGTCACAACTACGCGAACTTTCCAGATTGTAGGATCTCATCAAAGAGCTGGTTGTTAAACTCGCTTACATCATGCCTGGCAGCTGGTTACGTAGCCCATTCATGATGGGCGCAAGCGGTTGAAGTGAATGAAGCTATAACACGGACCGTCGCCACGGGGCGGGGGGTATCAAAAATACAGCCTCCACCGTCGGACCTGTTTCACTTTGGCGTTGACCATTTGTTGGGAGAGTGCAAAAAGCTGTCCTCATTCGAGCTCAACCCACCCTTGCAACATCATCAACACACTTTTCGTAGAAGACTGACAGGCTCCGTCACCCTCCGAGATGGTTCCGTTTCTGCTGTTCGGATTGGTTGCCTTGCAACATGCGTAGCCTCAGTAAGGAATGGGAAAAGCAAGCTTCCAAAGCATTTCCTGCAAGGATTCAATGGCGATTGGTCGCTTGGCTCATTCGGCCATTCTTTCCCTAAGCAGGGCATTTCTTCCAAAGGCTCAGCAAACCACAAGTGGGCAAATCCCAATAAACACCATCACAAACGTCTCAGATTCAGATCCATTACCTTGAGCGCTGGCGAATAGCCGGAAAACTTTATTCGCTTTGGCTTTCCGCTTGATCCAAGTAGCTTTCCGATCGCAGGCAAACATCTCGGCTATGCAGTCCCAGAAATTTCCAATATGGCCGAGGCATTGAGGTCTAACCTTCTGAATCCATTGGTGCCCGCAAACTGCAAAAGCTGAAACGGTGATGCGCCACGGGCTCAATTCGAATCCACGCCATGAAAATCATGACCCAAGAAAAACATGCTGTTCATGCCTGCGTCAGCAAGGATTCGCATCCGCTTTTGCACGGGTTGCGTGCCCCCATCTTCGCCTGAAGGGCTAGATCCTGCGAGCCGAGGGATGGCACCATGGCTTTGCATAGGCGAAATAGCTTGAGAACAGTGGCTCGCAGATTCTGGTCTCGGCATTCTCTGCGGCGTCTTGCCGCGGCCGCCCGAACGACGGCCATGCTGAGACCAAGCCCAACAGCATCCGATCGATGCGTGGCTGACCAAAAGGCGCTGGCACTTTGACTTTGCAGTGGAGCTCAGAACGCAATCCTTGCGGATGCTTCCACCGTGCTCCATGGTTGACTCTCCCACCGCAAAGCGGTAACCTGCGCTAACTCCATGCAGAGCGAGACTGGCTTGGCCAGTTGGGCGAATTGCATGGCCCTCTGCTTCCGGAAGTTAAACGATGCCTGGGAGAACCCTCCATCATTAAAGAGGAACATCTCAAAGTTGGAGAGAATGGTTCAAACTGGTAGCAAACGAGCTGGCAACATTGAAATACTCTGAAAAAGGAGCAGGACCAGAGCAGCTGCCAAGGTAAGAGTGTTTGTCTTAGCCATCATAGTTGCCCCAAAGGAAACCTTGATAATGGTTGTCAAAACGCATGGTCGATGCCCATTCAGCGACCTGAATCGATTCATCCATGTTGGGGGCCCATCTTCAAATCGGGTGCCGCCCCTGATCCAAAGCGGGCGGCTTTCAGCCGAAAAGGACCATGGCCACAAGTGGAACCAGCGCCCTCAGGGCGCAACGATCTGCCTCCGGGAGAACAGCCCCATGGGAAAGCACAGCAATCGGCTCAGGCTGAGTTGCTAAATCAATCCCCGGGACCCCTCGAAGCGTCTAACACAAAAGGTGACCGGGCCACATGCTTGCAAGCGACTGAATGTGGCATGTTCACCGGATGCCGTGACTTGCCGTAAACGGACATCAGGTCCGTATGCCGATTCCCATGTGACAAGCCTTGTCCACTTTGCCAAACTCTGAGCCCAAGGGTTGGCCAATCGCGCCAACAGTCAAACTTGGGCGTGCCCGCGGCTATGGACCCTGCCAACCAAACGGCGCGGAAGCTGCACGCCTGGAGCCTGCCGGAACTACCTGGGAGCCCGCAACTCACCCATCAGCACCCGTCCTTCCCCTCCCTGCCTCAGCAAGCGGCGGTCACCGGCCTAGCGCGAGGCACCAGAAAAACTCCCCCGACGCGTGTTTGCAGTACCCGGATCACAGAAACGGAGGAACAGCACGGGGCTGTGTCAGCATGCACCAAATGCATCATGTCTTCGGCTGGCAGAATCCTGAAGAACATGCTGAGTCTCCCTCTTGGGTGCCACTGGACTGCGTGAGAACTTAAAATTTGTCAGCCATGAAGGCTGATTACAGCTGCCACCGCATTTGTACCCCAGTCCAGAAGATTCGCGGGCAGGAACGTTGCTAGAACACTTCCCGGGCGAGCCCGATGCATCCTTGGACAAGCCATTGGGCGACAAAGTATCAGCCACTAGTTGCTGCAAAGCATCAAGATACCAACCCAGCAAAGTGATCAAACGTATCCAACCCTGCTGGTTCTTGAGCATGTTGGAATAGCCATCTCCAGCAAGCGCCAAAAAAAACCTCCAGGCCCGCAACATGTTGGAAGCCGAGACACATTCAGAGTGGCACTCGGACATCTTTCTTAAAATGCTCAGTTTCATGCAAGAGATGGCCATGGGTCAAAATCCAAATCGTACCCGCAGTGAACATCCCAATCCAACCACTAAAATAGGTTCTAAAATGGGTGGTGAATTCACCTACCAACCAAGACGGGATCCCATTGGCTTTGACCCACAGCCATCTTGGTTTTGGGGCCTGTCCAAAAACAAAATCAACCCGGAACCCGTTGCCATTTCGACGGCGCCAAATGCTGACGTCTGACATCCACCCAAACTCCGACATCCGAAACTCCACTCCTCCTCTTCGCCTGCGAAGGAAAAACTCGGAGCTGCAAACCCTGGGCTCCCTGTTACCCTTCCAACTAACACGGAACCTGTGGGGAGGTACCTGGAAGATTTATTTCCTTTTGAAGGGAGCGGGTCCCTGTCAGTTGCCATGGGAGCCCTGTGAATGTTGACCCAGGATTAATAAACCTGTCCCATTCTTCTTGGGGTGTTCCCTCCAAAAGTGGTCTGAATCCCCACTATATGGAACACCCCCCAATCAAAATCAACCAGGGGGTTATTAGTCTGGGGTGAACATTAATCCTTTCCAGCAGTACACCTCCCATCTCTTTCACTCACCTGTCTGTCTCCTCCTTCGTCCGTTCCCTTTGTGTCCGCCGGCATCACAGCACGCAATGAACATCACTTTAAATGGTCAAAGGAAGCTTGGATCAGAAACGTCCGAGATGCGGACGACTCAGACCAGACAAGCCAAGAAGCGACAAAGTAAAGAGATAGTTTAGCAAAGGCAGCCCCAACTAGAGAGATAGCCCACCAAGGGCAAAGCCAAGCAGAGAGGATAGCAAAGCAAAGTCGCAGAAAAACAAAGACATAGCAAAGCGAACACATAGCTAAGCAAAACACGGCCAAGTACTGCATAGCAAAGCAAAGACATATCAATGCAATGGCATACCAGAGCAGACACATAGCAACGGAAAAAGAAAAAAAGCCAAGCAAAGACATAGCATTCCAAAGACATAGCCAGCAAAGACATAGCAGAGCAAAGACATAGCAGAGCAAAGACATAGCAGAGCAAAGACGTAGGCAAGCAAAGACAAAGCAAATCAATCCTTTGCATGGTAGACTTTCAAAGCTTTGCCTTTTGGGATTTTGCAGTTGCCGGATCTTGACAAAGCGAACCCTCTGCGCACTTCAGTTGGTGTCAAGTTGCCGGATCTTCAAAAAGTGAACCGTCTGCGCGCTTTCGGTTGGTTGACCCGGAGCAGATCTCG